GGGGGGGGTCGCCTCATGCCCAGACTGTCTCTTTGCGAAGGGCTGTGGCGTGTTCGGGGAGAGATCCCGAAAGGGGGCTCGGGGGTGGGTCGGGGCCTTCTCCGGGGTGTCTCTTGCCTCTCTTCCCCCGAGAAAAACGTTGCCCGACGTTTGTAGTGGAGGTAGGAGCAAGCCACAGTTAGATGGTTGCAAGATGGACCTCTGCGTAGGTGGTGTCCGAACTGCTGGTTCTGGCACGCCTGGTATCCAGGCTTCTTACTAACCAGCTGGGCTGTCCAGGAGTTGAATTTGTTTCTTCTGGGGTAATGGTTGGGCTTCTAATTTACCCCCATCTCCAGGTTGTATCCAGTTTGATAACTTCAGCGAGAGTAAGGATAATATTATCTTATGGTCACAGGGGGGAAAAAAAGCATGCCTTTTGAGCTGTAGTATAAATATTAAGGTAATTATGAGGTCTCATACCTTAGAGGGAGAAAAGAAAAAAAAAAAAAAAAAAGGCTGAATAGGCTTTCTTCAAATTTTGAGGTGGTCTACCTCTGGCCTAAAAATGACCTTGAGTGTTTCTGGGCAATAGGTACCTAGTTAAGAAAGCTGTAATATAATGGGAAAATATTTGTTATCAAGGTGTTCTGTTTAAATTCTCCACTTGTGTTGTTTATTTCCATAACACAGCAAAAGAGGTATGGTTACAAAAAAATAATAAAAAATCATGCATACGTTTCACTTGTGTACCTGAAATTGGCTTTCATGTATTTCTTTTTTTTTTTCTCATAAAGTGCCTGTCATTGCTGTTTGAAATGTGTTAGTACTTTATTTTATGGAGGTGGATGGAAGGGTGTTTCTTAGTTCTGATTTGACCAGCGATGCTTTTCCCATAGAAGAAAAAATGTTTTTGGAAGTCCAAGCCTTAAAATTGCCAGAAAGAGACTTCTAAGCAATGTGTTGGTAAGCTTGTCAGTTAGTAGTCAGTGGAATTCAATTCTAAAAAAAAAAAATAAAATAAATAATTGGTGTTTTTCCAGCTAAAGTAAAGCTTGGAGTAGAATGGGCATTAACAGCTTGAGTTATACATGCAAGAGGGTTTGGTTAGATGGAGGCCTGCTCGTGTGAGTCAGGTTACCTGCCAGGGACTTCAGCAGAAGCACATTGCAGAGGTTCTACAAAGCATGCCTGAAAAAGGTTATTTTTATGGATTGTGCATGTGTGTGTGAATGTTCTTGTGTGTATTTGTACGTGGGTGTCTCTTATCTGACTCAGCAGCTGATAGGTTTGCTTTTGGTTTTTAGATACTATTCTCAAGATACTACTTTTTTCTCTTTTCAGGCTTTGATTAGTATTTTAGACTCATAACACATTTCTCTGGAGCTGATGTTTTCCTAACGCTTTCAGCTTGGCTTAAAAAGCTACTTTGCTGGAATGTTTTAAAGGGTTTAAAACCCTCTAGGATTTGAAGTTAATTTAAATAAATTGAAGGAAATACTTCTGGCCTCACCAAAGAAATAACTGGAATCATGGATCAGAACAACAGCTTGCCACCCTATGCTCAAGGCTTAGCCTCCCCCCAGGTAAAACCAAATAATTTAATATGCAATTGTGATCTGAATTTCTTTGTGAAAGTGTTTTCTGTTTCTTGTGTGTAACTTCAAGTTTTTTGTTTGCAGATCGGAAAAATTCTGTTAGCTGTAGAATAATACTAATATAAAGCAGAATTTTAAAACCATCAATTTGTATATCCAGAGGTATAAGAAGCACGCAGGTATATGGGGTTCCTTTAAGTTGAAACATGACTGAGAAGCTGGAAATATTATTTTAATTTTGGCGATTGCCCTTTAAACTAACATACATAGTGGACTGTCATTGCTATGAATGCATTTGGTATGATGGGCACAGTCTTTGTCCAAACAATCGCAAGTTAAATTGTGGGTCAAAGTTGAGACATGCTGGCAAGGTAGTGTGAGAAGTGTGTCAGCATCACTGGCTGGAGGTGAACAATGCTAGGACTGACAGATCCCTAGAGGTAATATTTTATTCTATAGAAGAACTGTATTTCCAAGGGCTTTCTGTTTTTAGCAAGTTATTACTATGTGCCTCAGGTTTGATATGATAAACTTACTTTGATTTATTTTTAGACTCCTCCTGAAAACTTTGTCTTACAAATAAAACGGAGTCAACAGGATATGTGAGTTCTGTTTCATCCTTTCTTCTGTAGGGTGCAATGACTCCAGGAATTCCAATTTTTAGCCCGATGATGCCATATGGCACAGGACTGACGCCACAGCCTGTCCAGAGCACCAACAGTCTGTCTATCCTAGAGGAACAGCAGCGGCAGCAGCAGCAGCAACAAGCAGCGCAGCAATCAACATCACAGCAAGCGACACAGGGAACATCTGGCCAAACTCCCCAGCTCTTCCACTCACAGACTCTTACCACAGCCCCTTTACCGGGAACTACACCTCTGTACCCCTCTCCAATGACTCCGATGACTCCAATAACTCCTGCAACACCGGCATCCGAGAGCTCTGGGATAGTGCCACAGCTGCAGTGAGTGTCCCGTGTGTTAGTGCAGCGTGTCCTTTCTCAGATAGCCCTTTAAAGACTTAGGACCAAAGCTGCATCAGGAATTGGGTACTGCATTTTGGTGGGAAGGGAGGCCCTGAGAATTTATGGGTCTCCCCTAGCAATATGAGTAATTTTTGCTTTTATTTTTAGCTTAGCTTCATTACTAAACTGCTTAGTAATATAAACAGTTTCTTAGTGATGCATCAACCATATATCTTTTAAGCATACCAATGGAGAAGGTTATATATGTCTTCATTTAGCACCATTGTAACTTTTAACTCTATGCATTTTAGGAGTTCATGCTTTAGTTATAAAGTAGTCTGGGTTGATAATGTCGTATATCAAAATATG